ATAGTTGCCTCAGGGACTTATAGTGAGGATTGAAGTGTGCAAAATAGGACTGTCATGGAAGAGGAGGTGGAAAGATTTTAAGAACCAGGGCTTGTTCATGAACATAAGGAGGTGGAGGCTTCCAGGCCACTGGAGGCTTGCTCATGTGTGCCTACTGCAGCAATGGCATCCAACACAGGACCCACGTCAGCTCAATTAAACAAGGGCCCAAAGGAGAGGTGAGAAATAGGTGGTGGGTCAGCATTGATTGAGAACTATTTGAGGCTGATTGTTGCTGGGTGAGGGAGAGTATGACTTATATGACAACTGGATGGTTTGACTACACTCTGGTGGACACATTTACACTGAAGGACATTTGGGCACAAACACCTGAATGACTAGTACTTCGCATGTAAGGCAGAGTGTATAGGGCTCCGTGGGGGGAGGAGGGGAGGCATGAGTGGGGGAGGGGGTCTCGATGTGAGTGGAAAATATTGTATGAAATTTTAAAAGCTTAAAAAAATAGCTGCTTTTCATGATATGCCCTTGGTGTTCCTGCGTTTTTACCATGCCCATACATAACTTAAGCACTTCAACAAATATGTGATTGCTTAGCTTTAATTTAAAATTAGTTTTTCGTGCTGCTACATTAATCATGTGGTACGGTAGTCTAGAAACCAGGCAGCAATTCAGATTAGCATATCCTATCTAACCTCATCTTTTTTGAAATCTAAAATATTTGTAAAAATACACATTTCTAAATCCCTCTTCCGAAAGAAGTAGAGCAGGCCATGCACATATATAAATTTGCAAGCGTGTTTGCTAATGCTTATCATTATTATTTGGTAATCATAGGAAACACTGCTCCTGAATACGTTGACTGTAAATCTTTGGCGTTTTAAATTTTTCATTGAATCTTTGTGCATTTCATATAGTACAGCTTGATCACATTTAGACCCCTTCCTTACCTACACCCTTCCTCATCAGATTTCATGCATTCTTTTAAAAACTATTTGTTTATTTTTATTTTATGTACATGAGTGTATTGGTTGCATGTCTGTATATGCACCCATGTCGTGCAATACTCACAAAGATCGGAAGAGGGAGTTGAATGCCCTGGAACTGGAGTTACCGATGGTTGTTAGGCATCATGTAGGTGCTGGGAATAGAACCCAGGTCCTCTGAACAGCAATCAGTGCCCTTAAATGTTGAGCTCTCTCCAGCCCGGATTTCATGCATTCTTTTCATATGTACTAAGGTTTTGAGGCAGGTTCTCCCTACCCCAGCTGGCTTGGAACTTGCTATGTAAACCAGCCTGACCTCGATCTCACAGAGATACACCTGCCTCAGCTTCCTAAGTGGAAGTGCTGGGATTAAAGGCATGGTCAACCATGCCCAACTGATTGAATTTTTAATGGAGACATGAAATTGCCGTTTTGACAGATTTTACATGACACGCATATTTGCCTAGATTAGCTTGGGAGCATAAGAAATTTTAAATTAAGTTAATATTTTAATTATGCACTCTATATTCATAACATACTATGAATGTTTCATGTGTTTTGTTCGGGTTTTATATATGTTGTATTCAACATAATCAAAAAGCTGCAGTTATCACCCGGGGAACAATAAGCATGCTTTTCTTCCAGGTTCTTTTCATCTCATGTTTATCTATGAGTTCCTGCTTCATTTATTCTGCCTGAACTATTGAGAGCTGCTGTTATTTGTTCTATCTGGCAAGGGGGAAGGGTTCCAGGATAACCTAACAAGTCAACCACCAGAACCTGAATAAGATATTATAAGGGTCTATCGTTCTGGGTAGTGCAGTACTTCTTAATCATTCAGGCACATTTGAGTCATCTGTTGTGTAAACTGATTGTTCTATGTATCCCAGCCCTAGTCAACCAAAACTTCTGTCAATAGACTACAGGTGTCCATATCTCTTAATGGTAACTTCAATTTACAGATGAAAGTACAGAGTAAGAATGTATGGAAATTAAATGATGAAATTATGACCCTAAATTCATCTGAAATTCCATTCTTCCCTCTATACTTTTAACATCTCAACCAAACCTTGCATATTGTTTATTCCACTTTATTACTCCCTAAAAATACCCTCTTTATTTGAATGTGGAGGTGCGTACCTTTAATTATAGCACCTGCAAGACAGAGGCAGGCAGATCTCTGTGAGATCAAGGCCAATCTGATCTACATAGTGAGTTCCAGGGTGGTTGGGCTGCAGGGAGACCCTTTCTCAATACTCCCCCTCCCCAAATTTGTAAGTAGAATTGCATAAAACATCCCTTATCGTTACAGGACAGAGAGCAAGAGAAAAAAGCAAGGTGAGACAATACACACACACACACACACACACACACACACACACAGATGCACACACATAGTTTTACACAATTGAAAAAGACTCTTATCATTTGATGTCCTTTATGCTGTATTCTCCTCCATTCTGTTAGAAAATCTCAAGAAAAAAAAAACAGGTTTCACCTGATT